ACCATATACATTACAAAATGTTTCTCGTGAAGCAGGAAATGAGTCAATATTTTCCCACACAAACTTACTGGACACCCCTCCCAATCCTACTTGTAGCATTTCTTCCTGTCTTTCGTCACTGCCATTATCATTCTCACTATCACTAATCATGTGAGTTCCAGGAGTCACAAACTGTGTTTAATCAATGTCAAATACACTATTATCGTCCGAACTATATTCACTTGTAATTTCATCTTCTAAAACTTCATTTAAAACTTGTATTTGCTCAAGCTCCGTGAGCGCACGACTTGTTGAAGGGCGAGCCATGATAACTATGAGGTCACGCATTTATATTTAGACTGGCAGGCACAGCTGGAGGAAATGCAAAGTTGCTGCTACATGAACAGAGAGAGCATTCTTTTCACAACAGGCCAGTGCAAACCTCATCGCGCAGGTGTTATTCGTTCCATACTTATGGGCTGGAGAAATTAGGCTTACAGCTGGATGTGGGGTGTATGTCGAACCGCAGATGGGAAGTTAAATGCCAGATGTACATCTACGTCAAACCACAGAAAGTTACAAATTGTTAAAAAAAACTTGCTGTTCACAGGGAACATGGATATCCAATCTGCTTCCAAATGCTGAGACTCACTCAAATATCATCTGGTGGTTGATTTCTCTGCTTCAAAAGGTGTAGCTCATGACAGTATCTCATGCGTCAAAACCGCACGGCTCCACCAATCAGATACCTGCAACAATTCAAATTGGGACAATGGCTGAAATCAGTCACATTCATATCTTCACACCTACCCTCACAGATGCTCACAATGGCCTCCACAAACAGAAAAATTAAGAATTTGAACAGAGTCGTTTATTTCTTGCATCAGATATTAACTTAAACATTTCTAAGAATAAACAGTTGCTTTCTTTGTAAATCAAGATGACACACTAATTGTAGCCAGACATAAACTATGCTGAGTTTTCTATGGTTTTCCTTGCATATTTCTTATTCGTAACTTAAAAGTCACTTCTTTAATTTTTTTCAATTAATATTACAAACTCATTCTGTATTTACATTTGACATTGATGACTTCAGCAAATGTGTCCGCATTATTAACAAATATATTCAAAACCTGATCCCGGGTTCTTCAATGTGGACTGACAGACAGAAAACACAAACAAACAAGCCAATAGGAGTATTTTTGTGAATTTCAGTTGTTGACATGCCTATGATTGATGAGTCTGGTATGTACTTATTTCACTGCTGCAAGCTTAATTACACTTCTTATCAGAAGAAATTGTTGCAAATTTTGTCGTGTAGTTTAGTAGAAGAGGTGAATGTCACACTATAATAATAATAATCTGTGGAGTAACAGCCCTCTGAGAGCCAAAGCCAACTAGCTGGCTGCTGGCCTCACGTTCACAAGCCTAAGCAGAGGTGAACGATAATCCAATCAGATATAGGATGATGTGTGGTCAGCACGACAAACCCCCAGCCATTGCTAGTTTTCATGACCAGATTACGCTACCCATTGTAGCTCTCCAATTTCCTCACGATGCTGGGTTGGCACCGGTCGAAAATCCCATGAGAAATTTCTTTCCCCGAGGCTCGAAACAGAATGTCACACTATATTTAACATTTAATTTTCAGTCTGTGTCTTGGATGTTAATAACTTCCTTTATGTTTTGAAGAATAATGGAGCCAACATAAACAATTATAGCAAATTTTTCTTGCAACAGCAGACAAACAGATGAATTAAGAAGTGTTATTGAGCACTTCAGTGTATCTCCAGTGCTTGTGTTTTAAAATCCACTTTCTTACAAACATGCATTAGCTATTCCGCCAGATACCAGGCAGGTGACTGCACCAGACTCAGAAACCACTGGTGGTTCAGTTACATGAAACTATAATATCATTAATTTTACATCCTCCTGGAATGGGATAATTACCATGCTGTGCCCTGTCCCCTCATTGCTTCTGGGACCAAATACTGTGGTGTATCCCAGCAGGACTATGTTAGTTTATCCTGCTGACAAAATATGATATTACACGAGTTACATGGGACAGGACTTGAGCAAGAGATGCTACTCACTAGCTGCAGTACTGATGATTGCTAACACTTAAGATTGCCACAGGAAGCAGCACAGAGCCAGTTCAGTTTATCACCTACCCTCACAATCTGTATCTGTATCATCGAGCTTAATGTGTATTCCTGTCTCATCCTTGGTCAGTCATTATGTCCTCGAAAGCATCCATGATGCTGAACATTGTCACTGAGGATCTTGAACTACGCCCCCTGTACTCAATCATGAATCATTCATAACATTACGCACAGGATTAGTTACAAAATATCAGGGTAATAATTAAGAATTGGTAACACTTCGCTTCTGCCAGACCACTGTTTAGCGAAGACGCTTAAGAACGCGGTCAGCCACCACAAAAAAACATTTTTAGACTACCTTAATTTTTTTGCTTTGTGAACATTATTTACAATAGCTAAATCCTCAATCTTTGACAGATTCTTCATGAAGACAACACACAGAATTTTGTAATAATTTCTGCTCTACGTTTGATTATTTGACAAAGGTTTGCAAAAGCAAATATGGCGGAATTCCACCGAACAAAGAAATTCTACCATGTGCCTGGGGTAAAACCCAACCTATACAAATCCCATGAAGATAAAGTTATCACTTATATTAATAATAACGAACACTAAGTTACACTTACCATGCAATCTGTTAACTTTAAAACTCAGAAGGCACGCACCTATAACGCAGAATATCGTTTATTCACTATTCAGACACCTGACGCGGCTTCTAACCCGAGTCTTCCATCAACTGTAGACTGTTTGCGTGTCGTCACCACAGATGTCAGTGCGATCAGTGCGCACTCAATTCAAATCGTTTGAATAACCCGAGTCTCTTCCATCGACTGTAGACTGTTTGCGTGTCGTCACCACAGATGTCAGTGCGATCAGTGCGCACTCAATTCAAATCGTTTGAATAACCCGAGTCTCTTCCATCGACTGTAGACTGTTTGCGTGTCGTCACCACAGATGTCAGTGCGATCAGTGCGCGCTCAATTCAAATCGTTTGAAAGATAATCAGGGTGGCAGCATTGCCTCAGGTGGTGTGATCTCCCACCCCACCACACTACTCACACTAACACTATAGAAATTTTCTACGGGAGAAACAAGCATGTCCGAATGCACCTTTAACACACAGGCATAATTATAACAAATCAGACTAAACCAACGTGGTCCAACTGGCGACCCACGAAAGTATTTGTTATTTTGTGAATAGTTATTGCAAACCCATTTCTTCTAAGTTGATATTCCATCACTCATAAAAGAATATTCTGCCAGTGCTCTCACTAAAGCTATTGACTTTAAAAGCATATAATGTACGTTCTACTGGTACAAATTGATATTGTATCTGATACAAGCTATAAAAGTAGCAGAGTTCAAATAATTTGTGTAAATTTTCCAGGTAACAATTGTGACAGATAAAAGCTGTTGCAGGAGCAAATTTAAAATAATATACATATCTATAGTACTTTGTGCACATTTCAATACAATTTATATTTCAGCATATGCAATAGTAATTTGTCATTTCTGAATAAGTATTATTAAAGATAATGACAATGCAAAAACAGTGACAGAAGGGATTTCTTGGCCCTTTGGGTCAAACAGGAAAACTATTCTGGCCCAAGTGAGGAAAAAAGTTGGACCACCCTGCACTAAACCATACAATTTGCCCAATGAACAACAGTGTTTATTATAATCAAGGAGGCACCTACACCTCAAATGGCTTTCTCCTTGGTGACCTGTCGAGTTTGTGGCCGTACAACTTTAAAGCAATGTCTTTAAATATAGGCCAATGTGTATACATTGTTTAAATATATTACAGAAATTTACATGTTGCCGTATTTATTTATATTGTTCAGTGGCATTAAGTACATTCTCACTTGAGCGATAATCATGGTAGTCAGTCAGAATGAATAACTGTCTCGGGTTCAATACCCAGCGGTGCCCGAATTTATAACTTGTGTTGGGCAAGACCGTGGTCTAGGCAACACAGAGTTTTCCTGCAGCAGCTTCCACACAATTACTCCATTCACACACAGAAGAAGGCAATGGCAAACCACTTCTGGATCATCTGCCAAGAACCTATATGAACAGGTCCCAGTCCGAGAAAATGATGGAAGGATCCTGTTCATATGGACCTGTCATCAGACAGAACACTGAATAAAAAACAAGCATTTCACATAAGATTGGAACCTACGGTGAAATATTGGTAATATTAATTTCTCCATCCAACTACTTACAACCGGGTTATTTCAACTTGGCTACTTCCAACACATGCAACCTGTAGTTTGCCAGCTAAATGCAAGTTCCTTTGTTTCTCACTCACGTAATAATCCTGAGCGAACTATGTTCTCCATCACGGTTCAAACCAAGGAACGTGCATTAATAATTTTTAACCCTGACCTTTTCCAGTTTGCCATCCCCTTTAAGCGATTGCGACAATTCCCTTTTCTTGAAAAACGTGCGATAGAAAGTGACTTCTCTGCTATCCGACAAGTGAGATACTTTAAAGGACGAAAGCAGAAACTTCTTTTTACAGACGACAATGCTCAAAATTCTTAGCCAGGACAGAAGCACATAAAATTCCAAAAAACCTACGACCCATCATGAAAATTTTACGCCCATGTAAAATATGGTGCCCGGTTTATGTGCTGGCCAGCTTAATCATGCAGATTTTTAACGATGTTTTGTTATAAGGCGACAGCTGAAACGCGAAAGCAACGTAGAACATGGACCGCATGTAATACAGTAAAATGTCCCTCACTCTACACTAGATTTCGATTCCTCAGTCTCTTGTTAGGGGCAACACTGAACCAATCCCCAGAAAGAAGGTACAGCTGCAACAAATAATTAAAATAAACTTTTTTACAACGCAGACAAATTTAGCCGAAGGCACACTGTCATGAAAACTTTTTTCACAAATGTAATTACATTGCTATGTGGTTCAACCAAGTGGCCATTGTTGATTCTGTCTGCTTCAACAGCCAGAAATTTGTGGGAAGAGAATTCCTAGCTTTAAAACAATATGGGGTAAGAAAAGTTTTATTTAAACATCATCAGAATACAGACATTATCTTATCCAAGCGGCGACCTTCTACGGAACTTTGAGCAGTAAAGTTTGTTGAAAGACGGAGTATTTATTCACGGATGAGGTGTTAAGACGGACATTACATTATGAAAACCCGGACCTGCAAGAGTAACAAGAAATGTAGGAAATCCACTGTTGGACTTACGAGATGGCGCAACAGTGGATATCCACATTCCTGCATTCACGTGACGATAGAAAAAATGTGATTAAGATGATGACAAGGTGATGAAACCTCATTTGCAATGGATGGAAAGTAAAAAAACACACAGGTGACATGTGGCTAAAGACGGAATGCGACTCCCCACTTAAACGAGGACTCCTTCTACTATAAATGAAGTTTAGAACTTTTCAAAGCAGGGACAAACATTGATATACCCCACACAAAAACTGTGACTAGGATGATAACAATATGATAAAACTTGTATTAAAAGGGGTGTCCAAGTTGGGATGGTCTCCATCAGTTCACCAGTGACACAAGTGGCAGAGGACAGAATGCGTCACCTTGCATCTACAAGGACTCTAGCATTTCCATGTTAATCATTAAGAACTTGTGCACTGTTGTGTGATTTTGAGGTGCAATCAGTTTATGATATATTCTGGATGTAAAATGTCAAAGTTGCAAAACGGCACTGACATAAAATGTTGCCAACAACAATTCATCAGGTTCACAGAGAAGATCCCCAGATTGTAATACCATGCTAAAATGACATCCTAGATTCAAGGAGGAAAGAAAACGTTTATGGAAAATGACTGTGCTGAAAGACATTTAACTCCTCTTATGCCCCCACTCCCAAAAAAGAGAAATTTAACCAGTTGGGCAACCAATATGTAAAAAAACTGCTGTGCTTACTTCCACTCATGAATCCATCCTGTCTTATTTTCAGTCTGGCAGTCTTTCTGTAATCCTTGTTAGATGTTCTCTCGCAAGTTGCTTGATGCCATTGGTGCATACTGCGGTGAACAGCAAAATCAATGCTTCTCCCATAAACACTTTCCGGAGTCTTATTATGTGACTCTGATGCACTGCTCAGTGTTGATTGCTCCTTCTTGATTACCACGTTTTGGTAATGAATTTCACTTTGTTTATGTTTATCTTTCTTCACTCTCCTTTTCTCCTTATGTGATTTCATTTCTTCCTTTAAATATTTCACTACATGAACTAGTGTCACCACTCTCACCATTCTTCATTTTCCTGTTCTTTGATTTGCTCCTCTTCTTCTTCTTCTTCTTGAAGAGTTTGTCAAGTTTCCTAAGAACAGAGAAATTAATTTAATATAACTTTCACAGAAAGTATATGAAATTTATATATAAAGTTTCTTTTAATACTGTACAAAAATTGTGGCAAAACATCAGAACAAAGTGGAAAGTAAACTGTACAACTTAACAACATTCTGCACATTGTAACAAAAGAGTCAGTCCATGCCAACTCAACAAATGAATTTTATATTTTAATTAAACTTTTTGAGTTTGAGGATACAGGCTGTTCCTCACTTGGTTACTTGTATCTCGAAGACTAATAAGCGTATGTCTATGAAATTTGGTTCATATGTAATGCGTAAAAGAACACTCTTAATCCTGTAATAAAATATCTCATTTCCAGAAGTGTTCAAATATATTAAAAAGTAAACTTTGTAAATCTGTATGAACAACAGGAGAGTCCAGGGCAGAATGGGAACTTAATCTTCTGAGGCATGTGGAAGGGACAATACCATAGACAAAAAACACATGGAGACTCGTGTAGATCTATTGTCTATTTGAAATTTATAACGAGTTATTAGTTTAGTTGTAAGAGTTACAGTTTTTTAAAAATATTAGTTTTTTTATAATAATGTAAATTGCCCCATTTTGCCCCGTGCTCGGAACAAGACGTCATATGATTCATATACGTTTGAAAAAGTTGTAAGAAGACACAGATTGTGTAATAATTATGACGTAGGATATAAAAATTATAAAATATATGTTCTAAAAATAGGCTCTAAAAATGTCAAAACGTTACACATTTTAAATCTCCTCAGGCCTAACACAGATGCACCTCTTCATCATAGTCACTATCAACAACTGCACATGAGTTATGGCCCCATTTCAAGCAAGACGAATACCGGAACCACCAGTCAATAGACTGCGAATAAACATCGCCACAATACAGGCACTCGTCATCTTGATCCTTTTCTCTGCTTTCCATAGGGGCACCCATTATGCTCTTTTAGGTTAGGATTATCCCAACAAAAATTACACCATGAAAATAAATAAAAATATTGTGTTTAAGACTTTCAAGAAATACCTTGTAACATGCAACATTCAACAAAGTGGATATAAATAATAAATAGGTCTTACCTTCACTGGTAGTTGAGAAAAACTTCTAAAATGTAGGACCAAAATCCAGCACGGGCGGGTAACATAAAACTGTAAACGCAAGATGGCGCTGACTTACATGATGTGAACCTGTGCTGTATGCTAATAAAATTTCACCCGATCCAGATAGATCGCAACGCATTGCAGAAGAAATGAAGTCGGTATCCCGTCCTGCCGACAGCTCACCTAAATAAAACTTCTAGTTATGTAACACATTTTGAGTAAACAATAACTCTATTAAAATATGAAGAGATAACAGTCGCTGTTTTCCTTACATACCGTAAACATTTCTTTCAATTTTTCCAACTCGTCTCAGACGTGCACATTCGAAAGAAATAATTCCGTATCAAGCCAGGAAAGTTTCAGACGACAGGATGACAAACGGAAATTTCTTCCCATGGACGATTACACTTGTTCTCGTCCTTTGTACCTACGTTAACAGTGAATGGCCCAATTTGACATTATGAAGATGTTGCCTTTGGAGTGATGAATAACTGCCTGTATCATGGTATGAACATAACAAGCACATTTTATGCTTTGCAAAAGATTTAGTATGTCAAGACACAGGATAGCAAAATGAGAGACATATTGTACTTAAAATATGCAGCTGTTTCACAATACAAGAAAAATAAAAATGTTACCAAATGTGTAAATCATAACAAAGTTGGAATTGCTGCAGAGTGGTAAGTCTTTGCTGTCAATCAAGGCAAAAGTCCTTGTGATGCTGTACGTAAAAAGCAGTCCCGCTACACCCATGTAGGTAATTTGGGGGGAGACGGGGTAGAGCTCGTAATTATTCTTGACCTCGGCACTAGATGATGGTGAGTAGTCAGCATCATGCCCTGGTCACTCTTTAAATCCTGGACAGGAAATCAGGTACCCATTGGATAGGAGGCTGGGTGGGCCCCAGAGACGGTCTGGACGCAGAGGCTAGAGGAAAAATCCTCTGCCTCCTTCATGGATCAAACCCTAGTCGTCCAGCTCGTAGCTAGTCATTATACTGACTCAGTTATCCCAGTAGGTGGCACAACATAATGGCAGGCAGCCAGAGAAAGCCCCCAGTGTCCTAATGACAAGCAAATACTGACAGCCAAAGACTGCTATGAATTTGCACAAAAAGACATGAATGCAATAAAACACTTATGAGTCTTGATAGATGTCACGGAAACAGGGTTAAAGGAACGTTTCAATAGTTGCACATTAGGATAGCGTCAATGGAAAGTTACAGAAGAGCATAACTGAAGAAACTGATGGTTACTAGATGATTAAATGCTAGCACATTCATACAACTCCGAAGAAAAACATTATACACTTACTTAACCAACCTTCTTTTCTGTTTATCTGATAAAGACTTCAAGAGTTCTACTTCAGACTTTTCTGATTCCTCATCTTCATCTTCACTAGGAATAAGGTCTTCCAAAGAAACAGTACATGCACGTGCTGCAACTTTATTTTAGTCATGAACCATAATGAAAAGTTATGTCAACATAATCATAATCTGGATGCATCACGATTATTTATTACACATGTACACACGCTTTCATCCTGGAACGAGTATCTGCCACAATTTTCTCAGCTTACATTCCTCTAGTGTATTTTATTGCACTGAGATGTTAAGTTTGGTTAGGCTTTGATAGTCTACAAAAGAGTTGAAATACACTCATATCTACTAGTATGATAGGTGACTGTAACTGTCTCAGTATTCAGACGTCTACATTAAAAATTTCACTGTGGAAGAAACTATTTCATAGATGGCTCTTCCACAGAATTGAAGATGCCTTGGCCTGGCAGACACCATCCTCAAAGTTTTGGAAGGCCATGGTATGGATACTCTTATCATCAGTGAAATGCATACACTTACAAATCAACTCTAGACACCATCTTGTAAAGACATTGCCATAGCATATTGCAAGTAACCCAGTATAATAGACAGTTCCTCCTCTATCATAAACTTTCATGATCTAACAATTGATCTACACAGAATCAGCTGTCCCACTCAGTGATGTCTTCTCACATGATCAGCCACGTGAGTTGTGATCAAAACTCAATTCTCATGAGCAAGACTTTGCTGAAATAAGTTGCAATGAGAACTTCACATCTTATACAGGTAACACACCAATCCCAAAAATATTCAACACAATGACTGGCTTATAGTACAGTCATTATGGCAAGGTCCACAATGATCAGTCTGAAGATCACTGCCATATCCATTACATCAGTTTTCTGAAATCCAAAATCACCTGTGAAAATCATCAACATTTATCTTATCATTCTAATCAGTGTTATGATCATCCAGCACGCAAATCACCATTTGGTCAACAATTCCATTTTTCGTATTATGTTTTCTGAATCTACTACCAGTCCATTACTCAAAATCGTGACAGGCAGAGAATCAGGTATGGACAGGCCCTTATTTTCTTTCCTCATTCTAGAGCATAAAGAACACCAAAAAAGCAGTCAATATGGAGAACCCCGAAGTGGTGTTGTTGTCACAACCCATGTGTTCAGGTGTTAGTGAGGATTGACATAGGTACGATTGACAGATAGAGCAATCTACAGAGTTGGTGCAGCTGTTATTGGCCCTCAATGGTATCCTACGTTCCTCAAGTGTTTGCCTTAGAGACGCTACGCTTATACTGTAACTTCCTGCCATCATGTTGTCAAACTGCATCTCACGGTCCTGGTAGACTGAGTGTCCGACTAACAAAGCATAGCATAGCTAGAGTTCTCTCTGCTGTTCCGTTCATCATTTTCTATTATGTGACCAATCTCACCTATAGCTGTCATGATAAGTTGGATGGAGTAACACACCAGTATTTTGCCATTGTGTCTGGACAGATTCTGCACAAATGATAAAATGCTGTGCTGATGGGTTTGTTTCAATGCTGTTTCACTGGGCCAGTCCCTGGGGCACAATATTCTGCAGAGCACCTGTTCTCATGGATGTTCTTCTGTGACAAGCAAATTCAGTACGTAGGTTTATGTTGCTTTCCCAAAGTATAAAGGTTCAGAGGACACCAAAAATCTGGGTCAGCTGGTGATGCAACACAGCATTCATTCAAGTAATATCTGTAGTTTGTGCCCAAGAATCGACTCTGACTCTGTAAATGTCAACGTCCAGCCAGGAATGGTGGATGACCTCTCTCTTCCCACTCTATTGTGAACTGATTCTTTGTAGGAATTCTGTTTAGGTGCACGAGAAAGTTATGGAGCTCCACTGCATCATGCAGTCAGACAACAAAGGCATTGCCCACAAAACTTAACTAACCCCACTTGTGCCTCAGAATGTGGGATAGTTGATGGCTCCATGCCCACTCAATCCTCCAGCTCATAGAATCAACCATCAAACAGAAAGTAGATCAAATTGGCTCATTGAGTCTTTGCTAAAGTGTTGATCCCATATTACCTCGAGAGAAACCTGGGTGAGCAGAGATACAGAACCACATCATCGCTGACCACTGGTGAGCTGTGGGTCTGAGTGAAGTGACCGAAGGTCCTGCATGGTGTCAACACCCAAGAGCAACATCAACAATAACAAGATCAAACCCTAGTATCAGATAATCTCTCATAATAAACACACACTCTGACATCACAGAGTGCCAAAATACTAAGCCTGCCTCCTTACCTTTATTAATGCGACCCCATTTGTGACACTTGATGCACCGCACATTGCGAACCCGGATGCCAAATGGGTGACCCCTGATTTCTGAATCACCTTTGCAGTAACTAAGAAACGGAGAATATTTAACATACTACCAAATACATCTCTGCACAGGTTAATTTTCTAAATGAAGAAGAACCTTTCAGGATCATCTTCAGAGCATGGGTAACCCAGCTCTTTGATCTATGATCTACACTAAAGGGAATTACATACTTAATTTAAGCTGCAAATATGTTAGTCTTCCACTTCTTACCTCTCCCGTAGTTTAAAGTCCGTAACATCTGCAAATGGTACAGTTTGTTCGGTGGACATGAGCTATGTCCTATGATGTGCAGCAGCTTTTCTGTTGGAAACGAGGGTGAGTGGAGCTTAGTATCGTGAATGCTGAGATTGAGTCAAGAACATGTGTTGACTTCCATTTCAAAAACATTGGCTCATTTATAATCGGGCCTATGTTCATACGGTTTTATGAAGGAATAAGCTGACAGCAAGAAGGGGCTTAATGCTAATAAAATACTAAATCAAATTTCTGAAGCTACTGGTGTATTTCCATACTCTTTAAGTGGAGCTGGGCATGAGACAGTGGGAAGGAAGAGACTTGTGAAAAATTCTGAATTGGATATAGTCAGGCCATTTGGCAGTCACGCATGTTCAGTGGCCTTTGCCCTGATCATTGCTTCTCTGTAAATTGGCCGATCTCAATGTGAGAAATGCTCTTAAAGATAAAGATGTATGCAGAGCTTAATAAGCATTAGAGCAAGTAAACCATTGGGAGTGGAGATTGGCTTCACACATTCTTCACCACCTTGACACCAGATGGTGTGAGTGAGCATTACATACAAGACTGGGTGGGCTACAGAAGTGGTCTGGCCAAAGTGGCAAAGAGGAGGATCTATAACTTTGCTGCCAAATATTGCACCGTGGTTGTCCAGTATGTAGTCTTTTCACTGTAGTGAGTAAACACTTTCAGGACAAACACAGATTTCAGTTGGTATATAGTATTTCAATGCCTTCCTGACAATAGATTAAATTGAAACTGGTTTCAAGAGAACTGCTGATGAGCCGCACTTTCTTTTAACTCTTAAGGAGTTCCTGCCATCAAAAGAAAAGTCATTTACAAAAAATGTCATAACTTAGAAATCTAGGTTCATACCTGAATTACTTAGGCTCCAATGGGAATATGTGACTTCCAACTTGCTGTATAATGTAGTAGCATATGTTTCCAATCCTGGAATGTACCTGGCAGCCTGTAGCTAGGCATTTAAATCCTACATCTAGTACAGCATATGTTAATGCCTGAAGTATTTAATTATATCTATAAAATTTTTAGGACTATCCAAGCTTATAAAAACAGCAGCTTCTTAAAAAGTCTTGCAAACATAACCTCTCTTTCATTTATATCCCCACATCTTAAATGCATTCTTTCGAAATAAAACTTTGTCACTTACAGAATCATCACTCATAAATCTGGGCTCTTGTTACCATCTTGGTTGCACTGTATTAACATCCACGTTTAAAGCAATTGTACATTTTGTGTGATGCATACCCAATCGTGTTTTCCGACACTCTAGTCACAGAATGTAAACCTAACAAAAAGTTCATGAACTGTTGCATCAGCACTAGCTAATATCCATGCTGAAGCTATAATTTATATTTTATACCAATTCAATTAGTCAACCGAATAATCAAGTAGCCACTTGATTAAGTCAGAAATTCAGCACGAATATCTAGTACACCATTTCAGTATTAATTGTGTTTGTAAAGCACATCATAAAGTTCTGTACTATATACTAGGTTCTAAATTAATACTAACTACAAATAAATCCCAGAAGAGTTTCGTTTCAAGTGACAGCCACTCAAAAGAACACGATATTTTGTAAACCGAATGTTTCCATCCACAGGTAGAAAGAGACAGTATTGACAATTTTTACCCACTGCTTCTGTCTCTGCTGTTGAAATCAGCATGGACATTCAGCCCCTTAGAGCTTCCAAATGTGCTTGACTGGATGGAGTTCCACCGTTCATAATTAAGGGTTGTTCTGACACTTTAGCGTCGTTCTTATCTTTCATATCTAATCTCAGTTTAACAAATGTGTCATTTGTTTTTTGCGGAAATAAACTGCGCTTGTTCCAGTGTTCAAAACTGGCAACTGTACCATTGTTACTAATTACAGACCTATTCCTATCCTAACCAATGTTTCTAAAATTTTTCAAATTAACATTCATGATCATTTGTACAATTTCTACTTGTCTGTGAAAATCTATTCTACATGTACGAACTTGTTTGTACCTTCCAATTTGGCCAAGACGAGGACCTATAGATTGACAACTTGAGACTGTTTACTTTAGATTTTCTGGTTATTAAAGAAATCAAAACTTCATTGCCATATTAACAAAATAATATCTTCATATATAATCACCAAAGGTTGTGAGAACATTATAATATACAGAAACAACAAAATTGTGGTAATATTTAAATGTTTCAAAATGACAATAACAAATTAAAATCACATCCATGAATACATTAAGAGAAACTTATATCTATTCAGAATTATTTTCTTTTCTTTTCTCCTGTCTAGAGACATAAAGATTAAAATACAAGTATCTATAATTTTATTTGCCAATGGCAGTCTCCCAGGCTGCAATGCCGCACGTTTTCCTCTGAAACATTGGTAGCCATCTACAAGACCACAAGTTATAAATATCTGGAAGATCACTTTTGACATCTCGGCCACCATCACAACTTAAGATCTCAGTTTTACCCATTTCATTGCATGGGTGTGAAATCTGATATTTGAGAACAAGGTTCTGTAGTAAATCTTTGGATCTAAGAGAGGGACAGCAACAGGATTCTGGAGAAAACTGAATTATGAAAACTTTCATAATTTCTATTCTCCATCAATTGTTATTAGGATGATTAAATCAATGATGATACGATGGCTGGGATACGTAGAATGCATGGAAGATAAGAGAAGTGCATGATGTCGAGTGTGGGAATGTTACTGAACACAGACTTGTACCTCTGCCCTTCATACAAATCGAAGCACAAATCTTGTCTCTCCACCTTAAGCAAGTAACATCTAAAGCACATAGGGAGCATTTGACGCAAGCAAAGATATTTCCAGTACAAACGTGTCATTAAAACTGATTCTTACATCTTGATAGTTGTAAAACATAACTGTAATTACCTCCGCCGAGAATATTTAATCTTGTTTTGAACTTGTAATGAGACTTGATGTGATGTCGCAATAATGTGTCTTTGTTAGAAAACAAAAGTCAGTATTTTTATAAATATAAATGTATGTCATTTTGTATTTTATTAATAAGTTTTTAAATTCCTTTGGAAAATGTAACGAAATTCATGGAGCAAACGTATTCTTGAGAAACTTGTACTCCGGTCAGAGAAATACACAGCTCTGTAATATAATAAGTTAGTAAGTTGTTACCCCCTTCTTAATCCCTTCGTTAGAAGACTACCCCTTATCGGCTGTTGTCCGTATTCTCCTGATGTGAAACACCATGGTGCCAAAGGGCTCACTCAACACGGTTTTGGAAAATGAGAACAGAACTTAACTAATGTTTAGTTACGTAGTAATAACTTTCTGCAGATGAAGATCGCTCGCCTCCATAATGACATTGATTGCCTTAAAGAGTTCACATTTTTAAAACCCAGTGTTAACGGAAAGGAAAGCCTGAATTAACAATCACAATGTGTAATTATGGGTTTTTTATTCTCAGAAAAAACAGCGATAACTTCCCTACATGGCATTAACCAGCCGATCATTGCTATGGACATGCTTTAGACGCTAACATTTGAAAGTAAAATGTGCATGTCTATTCTTCTGAATATGCAGTCTTGTAACATACTGGGTTCAGGCGGGAATAAATAATGTGTTACGTTAACCACGTCTGAGGTAATGGTTCTTTATTGTGTGGTATTGCCCGAGTGCCAGGCAGTGTGGCGGCAAAAAGGTCCTTTTGAGCCTTGGTGTATGATCTGTTAAGCTGATACAGTATTTGACTTTATCTCGGAAACATGTTATGAGTTACCCATTTAATTACAGCTGTCACATTTCTCTTTCACTCTGTATGTAACTTTACTAAACTGAAGTTAATTAATTTTGAGTGTTTTGTGGTAATAATCTGTACTTATACATCAAGCACTTAAAGGTACCGTACAAAATTACATGAATAAATAAATATAATCATTATCGGAAAGCATCGTCTTTATCTTTATGGCATTTGGAAATAGTGGTACTTCGCCAGAAACATGGCAGAATTACACGGTATATTGGCGCAACTCAACCAACATTTTTATACATATGTAGATTAGAAATAAATAAAAAATTCTTGTGTGTTGCCTTCGTAATGAAGTTTTTGTAAACGATGTTCATGACGCAACAAAATTTCATTTTCCCTTAAGGTGGCGCGATTCCCCCCACTTCCCCTAAAACAATGAAGACGCTTTCGTAACTCGAAACATGTCGCCTCAAATGGATTTAGTAAAAGACACAAAGTCAAACTGCTATGTGTTCATGGATAATAATATTTTGGATACGATAAAACGTCTTTAAAATAATTTAGTGTTAATAAGACATCTTGAGCAGAAAATAAACAGGAGAAATAATATTTCCTTCTTTGCTGGAAAAGATATTTCTCTTTATCTATCTTATTTGCTATTACATCGAATCCCAGTTTTCTTCATTATTTTCTTGAGGAACCTAATTAAAATTGACGTGTTTGTCGAGGTTGTAATAAAAGGCTTGCTGCCGCTGGGTTTCCTAAACCAACAATTTTATACGTGTCTCCTAAATTAATTTGTCCCTGTGTTTGTAGGCGTAATCTTTTGCATTCGGTAGGTTGTTGACGACACAAATCGACATCCCGAATCTATAAACATTACTTTCTGTCGCCTGGTACCTGCAATTTGAGATATCAAAAGTGAAAACAAACCCTTTTTCATCATTCATCAGTATTTTCTACACCCAAGACAATTTTTATCACATTTCGCGGACACAGTTACAGAAATTATGTAGCTCTACATGAGACGAGGTAACTCATGAAGAAATGAGTCTTCTGCCATAAATAATTTACTTAATAAAAGTTTAACAGGAATTTAAATTGAATGTCAGTGACATTATTTAAAAAAATTAACCATTTCCTTTTCTTTTCAGCTTCTAAACTGAAATGTGTTGACGTAAGAAAGTCCATTCCTGATGGGCTGGCTCTCTCTTTGGGTAGAATGGAAAACTGCTTGAAACTGAAGGCACAGGCTTCCATCGAAATGTCTTAGCTTGTATTTTGTGTCCAGACAACCTTAACAAATATTCCCCCAATGGGACTTCAGTGCACGATTTACACGTGATCTTTCTTTTACTCATATACACAAAGAACACCGGCCAACATGCTATTATAACATAATATATTTTACTAAATCGAAATGGAGGGAGAGGTTATGAATATTTTAAAATGTTGTTAAATGAATTATGTTCTGCGTCAGCTGTGTTTGCTATACTTCATTAAGCCATTACCCCCGGTCAGAATAACACTTCAATCACACATTATTTGGAGAGAGACGCGTGTTTTGTTTGAGAATTGCGGCCATAATAATATTTCCCCCTTTTAGCAATTTGTTTTCAAAATTTAGTTTTTCTTTGTCTTGCAAAAATAGTTCTGGAAAGGTTCTGTTGGACGTAAAAGAGGCAAAAACCAAAAGTAAATGAATTTCTGTGAGATTTCTGGCTCTTGCAAAGACAAGTGTGAAGAAAACTGTCTTCTGGGATGTTTGTGGGGCTGCTTACTGACTCCATCATCAGATGGCACAAGACTGCATTGAGAAACACGCCAAGAGACAGCCATTTACAAACAAACTTCCATCCAAAGAAGGGAATGTGAGACGGATAGGCGTCATTAGATGTGAAACCAGTCTAACATTTTGGTGAAAGCCAATGATTATAGCGAATATGATGCGCTGAACGCCAGAAACGTCCTGCCCAAGAGAGTACCCCTGATCAAAGAAACTTACCCTAAGAGCCCTTATTAATGCAGTTACAGTTGACGTCTGATTAGCATTACCTAGTCATTTGCTCTCTGCTTTAACGATTCAACTTGACCGCAACATTGCCCTGCCTGCTTTCATTCAACCCCCCACCCCCCAACTCATTTTTCCCACGCCACATTCAATGCCCTGAGTAAGCAGTTAGAACCTCTGAAACGTCGGTCAGTTTCTACGATACTACATGGTGCAGCATCCATAAGATCTCGGTCATCTTGACCGGAACTGATTCACTTCCTAGTGCTTTTCAAAAGTAACAGTTTGTTACGATACAGTGCAGAACAAAGAAACAAACCATTCATTTTTCTTGTCATTGAAACATCTGGCACTGAAGTTGGTGTCCACGTCTTGACCTTCACCGATGACAAAGATCATATCGTCGATCACTTCTGCTTCTGAGTAGCCACGTGAGCCGCACTTATCAGTCATCTCGGTCCACGTGTTTTTTGCTGCGTCATACTTTTCGGTACTGAGCTTGACTTGACCATTATAATATCCTCCTGCACATACACATATTCTGTATTAAGTCACAGTATATAAAGAAAGCTGATAAACGGAACTTATTCTAACACCATTTATTACTCTCTCACCTGACCACAAATTGTGTAGTTTTATTCACAAAAGTCGGTAGTTGAAACCTTCTCACAATAATGTAGTTACTCAAAAATCCCAGTGTTAGTATTAGTACCAGGAACAAAGTTAAGGATCAAATAGCTGCAATATTATTTTCGTACTAGTAGCTTGCTTAGTGAACAAGGGAATCTATGAAGCATTTACTTTAATGCTGGAGTTTATTTACGGTTCAGTAGAAACAGAATTCTTCTAACGTACAGCGTCCCAAAATTCGCATCAAGAGAAGTTTAATGTCACGTCTATTTTACATATTAGATCATAGTTAATATTAAATTTTAATTACGCAGCTGAAACTTATGATTAAAGCGCCGTGAACCCTGATGTAAACGCAACGTAACCAGTCCCACTACAATCGTAGGCACTCTGTGGAGAGTGACGCCATTAACTTTTCCAGCACCATAAGGAAATTGCACCTGACATCTGTTTACTAATTCATACAACTGCGTACGAAAATGGAGTTCAACAATTACAATAAGCTGCACTGATTAAAATGGCATAACACAAACAATTGACGAAAAGGAAAGATTACGCAGAAACCGGTTCAAACCACCGGCTTCTTGTGGATAAAAGCACAGACAACGTAAATGTCCTTGCCACAAGAACAAAATATTTACCTTTAAAATTTGGACTTTTTGATAAATGGGGCATGCGTTAGTTGAGATCCCACAAGAGATTATCTGTTGTTAGTTAGTTTTCTTTGTTGATAATGTATTCGAAACCACGAATCAGGGTTAAGAAAATACTGACAAACTTACCGTACTGTTCATAAAGTCTGAAGCTCTCAAAGAAAACTAGGAAAACATTGCACTATAGGAAGTTCTTTAAGAAGGTTGGAGGAACATCATTCAGGATATCCAGAATTCTTACCTAGGACGTACAGACTGCCGTGGAAGGCGACACAACAATGATTTCGACGTCCACAAAGCATTGGTGCAACGAACGTCCATCGGTTGGTGACTGGGTCATACACCTCCACCGTCATCAAATAATTGTCATATTTATCATATCCACCAGCGACATATATTTTGTCTGTAAAAACAAATTACATGTGTGACACAAACTGTATACAGGTTTGACGTAGGCAGAGGCATTACACTGCTCCACGCAGAGCACAAACATGGGAAAATCTGTACTTAAATTTGTAAATCTATTAATGATATTGTATTTAATGTCCCCCTTCGTGTCATAGCAACTGTACGGACACGGCTATCTCTATTCATTTGTTTCTTTCTTTTCAACTTTATGCATTTAAATGAATTTAGACAATTAGCGTGAGAAAGGAAACTAGATTAATGGATGAAAACAAACAGATACAATTTGATATAAACAGTATAAAGTGTTTAAAATATTGCATAATGGAAATGATTGTACAACATATCTTCTGTAAAACGAATTGTGTTAAATTCGATACCAGAGATGTACGGTACAAGCTGCCAAGAGGTGCTCTAAATTTTTAACACAATTTGCTATTTTATGAGATTATTAACTGTCTCAAAAACATCATACATCTGTAGTACAAGAAAGGCAGAAGACGATGTACAGGGACAGCTTACAAGAGCAAAGGAAACCATCACGCACTCAGAACGTCAAGTCGTTGGAGTCTGTGAAATAACGTAGTACATAGCACGGATGAAAGAAATGGATAGTAAAAGAAAGTGGGACAATGAGAAAGTCAGTTCAAGAGCGTAGAGGAAAGAGAGAGAATATTATGACATATGAAATTACGAAATAAACCACGTCCCTCATTTTTAAAGGGTTATTTCTACTAGTTTGCAGATGTTTCAGATATGCTTGCTGTCTTGATGATGATGGCATAAAGTTTCTCTGAAACGTCGGTAGACCTCTACCAGAGTACATGGCGCTACAAGCCAAACGACAGCCATCTTCGTACTCGCCACCGTGAGACCCTCAGATCCCACGATTCCTTCAACCGTTCTTGCGTTGTTACACGCAGACAGACGGAGACCTCGAAATTACGCACTAATTCACACAGCAAACTTTCACAGGCTCTCCGTTACCATTTAGCACAGCCGAACTTGCGTTCCACCGCTGCGAGTTCATAGGAGCGATCCACGACCACTGGTTCGTCTTGTAGTCATATCGCTCCGCCGTTTCGTGTTGCTGACCATAACCACGACCACCCATGGCGTAGACCATCTCTCCCAGAACTGCCACAAAGAAGTAGCATCTGAAAAGAAAAAAGTTCAGACTTTGCTATGCTTCGTCGATCAACAATGTTGCAAATGCCCTCGTACCCATTCCCACTCTTTATGAAGCTCGTGTATGGGAGTGGTAAAGTTAGAGCCCCTGTCCAAATATATATCTTGGCTAGCAGAGCGACTATCAGCTTTTAAAGAAAGACTCTGCTCGAAGGAGTTTGTTAGTTAGCGAACTGCATCTTACCTGCGTTTATGCATAGGCGGCACCTCGCGCCACGTCTTCGTAACAGCGTTGAAGCAGCGACATGAGCTTAAGACTTCCTCGCCGTCATGACCACCGATGACGTAAATGTCGAAACCTATTACCGCCGTGCCATGGAAGCCTCGCGGACCGATCGAATCGACCTGCTCCATCTGCAAGAACGACAGGTCATGATTTTATGTTTCTTTGGGTCATAAGGTCTACTAATGTGAAGTCCTTACATTAGAGTTCAAGCAACCACCGGAGCAGAGGTACAACCCACAACAGCGGACCGAAATTGCTATACCGTGCTCGGTGACCAGGCCTACCGCGCTCGACAAAGAGCGGGAGAAATGAACTTGGAGCAATGGTCGAATTATGGGAGGCAGAGGAAAGAGAAAGAAACTTCAACATTATCAGAGTTTTCTTCAAGTGTACGAGTTACTGAAGGACACTTCATTCTCATTCTCTCTCTCTCTCTCTCTCTCTCTCTCTGTGCTAACAGAGAAATGTAGAATTTCTGATCAACAGCTCACATTTCAGGTTCGTGTGGTGGTGAAGACAGATGATGGTGTTTTGGGTTTCATCGACGCAAAGCTGGAGGCAGTACGTCCCCCAACCCACACCAATCAGTGTGAAATCTAATTCATGCGGCGTTACCACCCAGAAAGCGAATATCGACAATGATCAGTAATTCATTTATTACGTTGAAATCCACACTGATCATCAATGATGATTTCGTTTCGTGTTTAAAATCAGCAAACAGGTTGCCATGACAGTTGATGTAGGACGCTAATTTTACATTGTATTTAAGGCAAACTTCACACTTTTCGTTGATTCCTATTAGAAGTTAAATTTTACATAAGACACGACATTTAATCTATTCATTTATTCTTTTTAATTAATTTAATTGAAGCTTCTCTTAAAAAAAGTGTTCACTGCCATGGAAATAAATGAACACGAAAAAGAGCCAAAGAGGTGCTTGTGAGTAAACTTAAATATGCAATTAGTTGGTAGAAAAGCTAGTTCTTTCTTGGAGGCGTCATTTAACAAAGAGCTGTAAGAGTAGAAATGTGTACAACTCACCACACTCCATCGTTCTGCTCGTATGTCATAAGTTTCAATCAAATCCGTCAGCCTTCCGTCATGAAACCCACCAATAGCAAACAGAACATCCTGTGGGATTCGCGGTTGGGCAATCTTTGGTGTCACGAATCCCTTGTCTTCTACCTTCTTCAACTTTTGCACGTCGCGTAGGAAGGCTTTCGTCTCCAATATCACAGGTCTACACGCCTCATTTTTCGTCACGTACGGGTGCTTTGATATCTGTTGAACAGTTCAATGTGGACCTTATGAACATTTAGGAAGGGATGGCATGAATCGTAGCATGTTCCATTGCAGAGGAGAGAAGAAATCTACGCAAAATTTGATTTGAGACTCATAGAAATAGACTATGGTAGAAAACATTATTCTCGGTTTATATACTGACGCTCTTAGCAAATGTACAGTTTGTTGAGTGAGTGAAGCGTAAACAAAGTTAAATCAACCTTCAGAGAAATTAATTGAAATGTCTTTCAGCTGAACATTAAATATTTCAGTAAGATTTGTCTTTTGAATTACAACTCCTCTACAGGCAGTTCAAGCAGTTCTTCACTTTTCTGAGACACTTTCACGAAGTGGCTACGCTGTAATCACATTATATTTGATTCGATGACTTCAGCGAAGGAGTGACACCTGCAAAACCAGCGTAAGAGCCGACTCAGAATCGATCTTCATCGAACTCGTTCAATGGAGGCAACCTGCTGCGTGTTCGTGGTTAGGGTGATGGCACACACCACAGTGTTTCGCCTCCACTTTTTACCTTCACCCTTTGATCAAATCATATGCAGTTAAATCAGAATATTTAAATCAAAAACACATTAATAATAACCTGCCAATAGACCAGATCAACAACGCATTAGACTTTGCCCAGTCCTCAGTCAGAGGCTTTAATCTCTGAACCGGCACTTGGCTGCTCTCTGAGTGAAGCTCTTCGCCACAGCAACGTACACTCGCAAATGACAAATGAACGTCAATTACCTTGCGAAACGCAAGATGCCGATACAGTTGTGGACGTCCAGCATGTCCTTGAGGAAGTCGCAGCCG